AGGCCATCGAAGAAGGGTCTTTCCTTCAAGTCATCATAATGTTGCTGGGCAAATTCTTTTGAAGGAACCAATATCTTGATAGCCACAAGCTTGAACCCTTTGCGCTCAAAACGAGATATGATTTCTGAAATCTGGAATACAGAAATGCTTTAATATGTGTCACGCTTCACTCCACAATCCCAAAAACTGCTAAATTGGAAAAGGAAAGAAAATCACACTGTCACAGCATATGTTTATTCTAAGATATATACTACAAGCAGAATGCAACAAGTAAAGACAGCATGACAATACAACATTGTTGAGATTCATTATTTCAATGCTAAGATAATTTGGGAAGGCTCAGACATCTTGAGTTGATGATACAGGACAGATGCATCTTACCAGCCCTCTTTGTACTCCATCAGGCTTGATAGCAATGAAGGTGCGCTCCATCTGAACAAAGAAAAATGGTTCATTATTTATCGGACAGAATGAAAAAATATGGAAGGATAAGCACAGTACAAACAGTGAAAAAGCTAAAGTATTAGCTATGAAATTGAATGGTGATGGATTACCTCTGCAGCATGAGCCTCCTGCTCCTGAAGCATGTAAGCTACAAAGATGATAAAAACAAACAAAACATTCAGGTCAGTTCTTTTTATTTTTCCCTATTTTTCTTGAAAGGCAGAGGTATGTGGACTTCATCTACAGAGATCATGATCGTAAAGCCAGCGATTCTTTTCTCAATTTTTCATTTTAACTGCTATGAAAATAATAGCCAAGTGTAATAGGAGGCTGAAACTTGAGTTGTCTGGCACATAAAGGTTTCATCATCATCATACAACTGATCAAAATTTGATCCTGGAATGTAGATACCCTAACTATTGCTAGACTTATAAATTGTGATATGATAAAATTGACCACTGAAATTTGAATCTGCAGTGTGAATCTAGTTGTGAGGGCAGGCGGTAGATGGATATGAAAGAGAGAGCCCACAGACACGAAAGAAAAGGCAGCAGAATCATGTTAGATCAGTGCAGAGATATGATGATAGCCAGTATAGTTCACAGTTTTCAATTTGGGCACAATGTTGGGAGAAATTTAGGGAAGAAGTCAAGTCTAAAATGCATCCCAATCAAGGCATTTCCCGCATTACCATGCTAATGCAAAGTATAATTATTGTTGAAGAGGTCCAGGAAGCCACAGTGCTAAAACTTGAGCAAGGGACAAGGCTCCTCTTCTTTCATCCAAAATTGTAAATGCAGAAACTCAGCTTGGACTTTTATATTGCCATCATGTCCATTTTGTCATAAAACATGATTAGGATACAAAGGAGAATTAACTCTAGATGGCAATAGGTGCGAGGATCCAAATCAGATCATATAAGTAAAAAAAGAGACAAAATCTGAGGAAAAGAGTTAAGTCATCCAAACCTGCCACTGGAAGAGCAAAAACTCCTGAAAGCCATCCTCTAGATGCATTGTTGGGACCGGTCCTTCCATAAGCTGAAGCTAAAAGATGCACCTTACCACCAAGTGAAACTGCTGCAGCAGCAGCTACTGCCCGCCCTTCTGCACATGATAACATAAAAGGTTAATAAGCTTAAAACGGAACAATTTGCAAATCAAAACGCCAGCACTTTCAGCACATGCACAAAAATTTATACAGTTTATGCAAATCGAAACTCACATATTCTTCTGCATAAACATTCACATTTCACGCAATAGAAATTACCAGCACATAAAATGTTCCATTTTTTACTATTGACAAACATAAGCACTCTTTTAACACATGAAACTGGTACATAATTAACTTCTAGATCAAAAAAATGTGTCCTCAAATGGATGGATGATATCATGAAAAGCAGGAAAGAATAAAGAATGGATAAAATTGAAGTGAAGAAAGATGCCGATAGCACGGATGCAGAAAAATGCAGAATAAATCTTTTGCTTTCCCTTCTCTCTTTAGTCACGGATGGGTAGCTAATCAGTTGGGGGCAACAAAACGGAATCGATTCCTCTTCTAATCTTTCCCCTTTTGAGAGACCACATCAAGAACAGTACCACGTGGTAGGTTCAACTTTTTACAGCTTGAGAAGGAAAAGGTAGAACTAGAAACTTTTAATTAATATAAATTAAAATTTTTAAAAATTAGTTTCAGATTCTTAGTCACTTTATTTGCCAAACAGACGACCAGCAAAGCTTCCATCCAAACAAAATAAAGGCATTATTGATGATAACAACAATCTCAATACTAAATTAAAATAATAAAATTAATCTAATGAACAAAATGTTTAACAAAAATCAATAAATCATCAGGTTTGATAGACAATAAATTTCCAATAACTAGTCAAAAACCAGAGTTGAAACACGGGATTGATCTACAACTACGAATCAAAATCAGAGATTTACATCAAACACTTTCAAATCAATATTCAACATTTCATTTCACAGAAAATTGTAGTTATTAAATCAGAACAATATTAAAAAAATTCAACGTTGCATTATCAGGAAACATATTCACCACAAATCACTTCACATATCAGCCATCCATCAGCTCAACAGAACAAAAAAAAAAGAACGTAGAGAAATGACCAAGATGTTACTAAAACAATGGGGAAAAACAAGGAGATGGGAGAGCTATACCAGAGCAAAAGCGAGAGCTCTTGGAGGCTGAAAGGAGAGACCTGGCAGCTCTAGAAGCAGATCTGAATATCTGAGAGCTCATTTTTTGTTTTCCTGAATCGTGGGTATAGAGAGAGAGAGAGCTGAGAGCTACTGTGTGCTTTGAGTAGTGGACGGAGAGAGAGAGAGATAAGGAGCGGAAGAAAGGGAGAGGCCTTTTATAATACTACTATCAGACTATCAGTTTAAGTCATGAGTGAGATTTGATTTGGTTCCCACTTCACTTTTTCGTGCGCGGTTAGAGGTTTGGTTCGGTCAATGAACGCCACCAGCTGCCCCGAACTGTTGGGAAAACTAAGGAAGTACTTTAGTACGAAACGACATGATCGGCCAAAAAGAATATAATATAACTGCTATGTTCGGACTTTGGTACTTTTCCAGTTTGCATTTATATGATTTGTTGGTTGTAGATATTTAAGAATTGTTAAAATTAAAAAAAAATTAATATTTTTAAAAATTCTCTGTCATTTAAAAAAATTTAAACTTTTTTTATTATATTTAACTAAATAATTATAATTTTATTTTAAATAAAAATATCTTTATCATTAATAATTAATTAATTAATTTTGATTAAAATATTATTAATTATTTTACATCACATGATATATTAATATATTATAATAAATAAATATATAACATGATAATATTATTATGTAATCTTTTCACTTTTTACATCAATAATATGATATAACATGATAACATTATCATGTGATCATTTTACATTTCATAATAAATAATATTTTAATTAATAATAATTAATTATTAATTATAAAAATTTATTTAATTAAAAATATAAATATAAATATTTGATCGAATATAATAAAACTTTTTTAAATATTTCAAAAAATTTCCAAATATTATGTTTAAAAAACAAATAATTAGCTTGTATTGTATAGACAAATTCAAAATAATTGTGCAAATGGTAAATGTGATTTCTTACAGCAAACTTTATGCTTTTGAACTTATGCGTACGGAGCTATAAAGGGTTACTTCAATTTTGTTAAAAAGAAGTGAAAAAGACATAAAAAGTACAATAAGAAAAGCAATGGACTATATTCCTTCTTTCGCTTATGGAGACGGGGGGGTGAGAGAGAAGTAAAAAGAACTGTCAAAGTGATAAAACAGATCTCGTGTTCCCCTCTCTTTCTTTTCCTTTTTTTACAACTTTTTTTCCTTTCTGCTCTTTCCTTCTTTCCAACTAGGGAGATGAAGAAAGAAAACTAGAAAAGCAAAGCGTCACTGAATAGGGGGGAAGCTTCTTTTATCTCCGGCACTTTTGTCATTGGAAAAGTGGAAAACGAGGAGGTAGCATTTCCTTTTGTCTAATAATTGGCTAACTACCTAGTGGGGACTGGGTCCGGGGATAATGTTAGCCACCTGCCTATCGCAGCCACGAAGCCTCATGACCTTTAACTCTCAGCCCAAGGGAAAAATGTTAGGAACACTTGCTTTAAATTTAAAGTACACTTTCGGGAGGAGCCCAAAAAGTTATAGTTTTCTCTGATGTCTGTTGTTTTTTAAAACCCAAAATGCAGACCAACCGAAAGATTACTGTTTTCTATTCATTTGTTCTCATTTCTCAATGGTGTTTTGTCATTCACGTGGCTTATGAAGTACTGAAATAAAGGCTCACAGGCAGGGTATATTTTAATGTATATTCCAGTTTTGTTGGATCTTTGTTTCTTTCTTGTTCGTGCATTAAGAACTTCATTACAAGAAAAGAACCTGGACTGTTCTCTCCTCGGAAAAGCAGAGTCAAAAAAGCTTAAAGTCATCTGCTTGAAATAGTTTTGAATAGCTAACAGCTTCCAATGCTGATTTATTGAAAATACCATCATATGTACATGAAGAAAAGAATCGTTAGTTAATTTGATCTATATACAAGCAACTGTTAAAAAAAAAATCTGTAAATGATTTTACTTTTCACTTGAACCATTGGGAACTTTGAGATCAGAACCCAGCTTGCAGTCTGTCTGCAAAGCTGATAACCAGGTGTCCACCTAGGAAAAGAGGAGAAAAGAATGAAAGTCATATTTGATAAAATTAATTTTAAATAGATACATAGTGAACTTCTATGATAGGTTGTCCAAAATTCACTTATGCTCCAAGGGTTTCTTTGATCCTTTCTAAAATGTATAAAAACAAATGAAAACAATTTTTGAAGTGTTCTCACAATCTTGACAACCACCGTTGAACTATGCTATAATGGGAAGAGAATCACACCGACGAGTCTAGCTATGAACAGACATGATCTAAATCTAAGGGCAATCGATGAATGTTATACGCATGCATGAACATACATTGAACTCTAAAGAAATGAAAACACTTTATGGCATTTAATCAAGATCAAACATCACATATTTTACTATTTTAGCTAGCTTAATTGCCAAAGATTTGTCAAGTGCTAGTTTCCTCCAAATATTAATTAGCTTCATCTTCCTCAACTGAAAATAAGAAAATGGAGAGTCGGCCTCTAACTCAAAATATAGTCCATGTGAGACCTTATTCCAACACATGTTCAGCTCCATTCTTTACAAAATAACATGAAATTGAAGTAAAACCATTTTATGAGTTTGGAACAGCTCAACTATGTACAAAAACTGACCTAAATGAGTAGGGAAACATTTTATACTCCATTAATAAATGCATATCATGCACAAGGTATACCTGTATTTTAGAAACATGTGAACACTCATAGCGCAGTCCTTGACGAGTTAAGATATAAAAGGAATGTTGCGTCCCTTCATCTTCTCTTATAAAGCTGGGCAGAGAACCTACTTCAACAACATCAGAGAGCAGGGTGGAATCCTGAGGGCTCAAATCTGCGTAGTATAAATTAAGAGGTTGATCAGCAAGTAATGTTGACTGTTACATGAATCCTTCATTGTTAGCCGTTGGCAATTACCAACAAGGTATAATTAACGCCAAACCAAGTTGAGCTAAAAAGAAAAGACTTGAAGTTGAAACTTAATGACATGTTCATTAAAGAAGATGAACAATTTAAAACTGCTTGATCGTCTCAATTTGAAAACAACACCTGCATTCCTGACAGAATTTTTTATGCCGTTTCCGTTTTACACCAACCATGAAGCATGCACCATAGAGAATCAGGGTCCAATTTTGGACAACAATGATAATAATAATAGAAGAAGAAAAAAAGAGAATACAACAAAGGTTAATTACCTGTGGAGAATAAATAGAAGAATATACATTGGCCGTGAAGAACAACAAATCGAGGAAGCCAGTCGTTCAACTTCGGCATCATCAATAGGAGCAGGTTCTCCAGGTAAAGCAGTCCACCTCTGAGGATGAAAGATATGTAAGAAAATCATTAATCAGAACAGTAAGAGTGCACAAACAGAGGATGCAGCATAAACAAATATGAAGATAGCATGATGGGCATATTCATACCGTTCGGATGTACAAATAGCCGGTAAGACGAGCTGACCGCAAAATTTCATCAATATGTTCCAACCTGCGTAAAACAGAAACATCAATAAAAGAAATGCAGAAATATTTTGTCTAAAACTCAATCTTACAGTCAATTCAGCTAGGAATTGTGGATACATAAGCTCAGGAAAACCCATTAGTAAAGATAGAACCACCATGGTTCAGAAACCATTATTTACAAGTTGGGCCCTGACATTAGGAGGAAAACTCTACATAACTTCCAGTTCTGGAAACAGTAAATCAGAATTCTAGACATCAAGTATAACTCTTTCTTTGTCATTCTAACTAAAGCTTCAAATTTTAAGGCTCAAACTATCAAAAATTATCTTTCCACTGCACTAAATTATTATAAACATGCAATCACAGTTAACCAAAGTATGCATCATGGTTCAAAAGTCCAGATTCAACTCTCCCTTACCTAGCTTTCAAGTGAGCTTCTCTCTCTTCTATATCCGCAAGTTCTGATCTAAGTGATTCCAACTCTGCAGCAGTCAACTGAACCTGCAAATGAAAAAAAAAGAAGTTATTGTGATAAGGGATGTGTTGCTATCAATAAAACCAAATGGGAAGCTTCAAATAGGCTCTTAAATGAACCTTTTCCTGACCAGCACCAGAACTCCATGGCAATCCACGTAAACTGAACAGATTCAACATTAACGCAGCACTTCTCAATTTTTTCCGAGACCATAAACTGCTACAGGACCTATCCTAAAGCAGAACTAGAATATTGTGATAAGATGAACTTGAAATTCTTAATCTGTTCTCTTTTAGACCTTCAGAAAGTAATACCTTGAAGAATTATCAATACTTGGCTGTGAAACAGGTGAGCTTCTGATTTGAAGAGAGTCAGCACTGGGAGTTGAGACTTGAAAATGATCTGGAATCACCTTTATCTTCCCAAGACTGTCATCCATAAAGTTTTACTCACTACAGGAAGAGGTACAAACCTGACCAATAAAAGGAAAATGAAAATGGTATTCATAATAATAACCAAACTTACGATAATACGTTTTAAGAAAGCGCAAAAAAATTAACTGCTTTCATTGCTGGCTTATTCACCAGGCAATATGAGACAGAACAATATTGGTTTAAAACCTGATACGGCGAAACTTAAACCTCTAAGTAATTGCACAAGTGCTCGCCAAATGATAAGCCAATCATTTTGTAAAACCAAATTCCAGTTTTTTTCAAAAGAACAAGCAATTGTATGACTTTAGAACATTGATATATATATATATATAAGATTTCAGGTTTATCATAATCTATAGAAGTATGCAACAAAGGAATCCGGATGTACATCCTAAAATAAAAATATATATAGGATCGTAGAGATTTGTTCATGCTTGTCAACTAGCTGACAACTAGAAATTGAAGCTCATCCCCAGGAAACAACAAGTGAGCCAAACATAAGAAATGCACATCATTTAAGGAATATAAACCCCAATTATGCACCAGAGGTACCATGAGGAAGCCTGAAAAATCACAAGAATAAATCATCATTCACAGTACATAGGATTAACGTCCCTTAAAAGTTACCATGTTAATTAACCGACTTAAGACGCAACAAGGACAAGGCTTTCATAAACTGGGAACATGAAACCATTGAATTTGGAGTATTCTTCACATACCTACCAACAGCTGATCAGTTAGCTCCACAGTTAACTGCTGAAACGATTAGAAATAAAATTAAAAAAAAAAGAAAACAAACGATGCCCTTTGATCAACAGCTAAAACAAGTAAAAAGTTGCCCAAGAAGGGAAACCCAATAAAAACAAATATCCCATGAATCTAAATCCGATCAAAACAAGTAAATAACCAAGGTTGAGCAGAGCTTACAGAAGTTTGATCTCTTGAATTCGTATAAGCAGCAGGAGCAGAAGAAAAGAACAAGCTAGAAAGATACAGATAAAGATTTGATTTTAAAAAAAAGTTTATTCTAATAAAAGATGAAGAGACACCTTTTTTTTTCAGCGGTAGAAAGAGACTTTTAGACTAGGGAGAAGACGGGAAGCTAACGACTAACGAGAGAGCAACTTGTGTTCACGGAAACTGTTTTGACTCTCGGCGAACTTGAAAGACATAACCATCTGACTGGTCGGTAGAGTCGTTTCTTTTGATCGTACTGCTTAATACAAAAGGACCATTATACCCCCCCTCTTCGCTCCTTTTTTCTATCTTTTGTCCCACGGGAAAAAAAAACCATTTATGGTTTTATAAGCTAAGGTTTACGATAATGCAACTGTCATGTCCTAATTATGTTTGTTGTTATCTTATATATATCACTATGAATCTGTTGTATCATAGTGGATTCCACATTTTGTATTAATTTATTAATTAATAATGGTCCACCTTCTTGCATTTATTCTTTTTGCCATGTATCATCATTGTCCTCTCTTTAATCCTAAGAAAAACAAAAGAAATTTCAAAAACTTTCGATCTTCTTTGCTTAAAATGGTTCTGAACAAGTTATAAAAGCCATCTTAATCTCCAAAATAACAAAAAAAAATTATTATTTAAAATTTATTTACATGATAAATATGTAATTAATTTCATTCAAAAAGTACGATAAGTTAATATTATCATTTTTGTTATAAAATAAAAAAAAATAAAATATTTATATGTATTTGATGAAAATTATATAGAATTCTATTGATTTAAGAAATAGACACTTTATTCAAAAAAGTATTAGTCAATCATTAAGGTTGTAGTTAATTTGTTAATGTGATAATATTTTTTAAATAATTTTAATATTATATAAATTTTTATTTTTCACTTTTAAATTTTTTTCTTAAAACAGGACATTGAATGAAATGCAAATATTCGGCTTCTAATGATGTCGTGCTGTTGGCTTGTTGTTGAAGGTAGACATGATTGTTATTTAACGATAATTAAGCCTGCGGGACTAAGTAATTAATCACCAAATATTCGGCCTCTAAGCAGCAATCTTAAAAGAAATGCAGTCCAATAAGCATCGTTAAGGCAGCTTGTGCTTTGCTATGAAGCCATAATGAGTGAAACTGTTTAATCTTTAGCCATTCAATTATCCCCATCACTGTTTGAATAAGGGGATAAAGAAGATCCAAGTGCACTTTTGGACAAAGTAACGATGGAAAAGCAAACAAAGAGTGACGATGGTTCGGTCGACCGGTGGACCTTTTAAGTACTCATTGCGTCCATCGTGAGAGAGGCGTACGAGACTAATGCGATTTGTTTCACATCGACCGCATATATTGCTGCTACTTAGCAGAAGAGGTGTATTATACTCTACTTCAGAGTGATATACGGAGCCGAGGAGTCACTATTTTATGATGTTAGTAACTATTGTCCTTGTAAATTTACTTTGCTTTTGTCTTTTAATGCGGGGATGTTGGTGAATCAGATATCCTATCCTATGTCATGGTAAATTGTGCGGCAAATAATCAAAGATCGAGGATAAAACCAACCACCAACTCAACAATTGTGGCCAGGATAAGAGGAGGGCTTTTCTCCTCTCTTTCGCTGCTAGACTGCTTCTGAAAAGGCATGGCTTCTTCTATCACTCTCCCCAGCCTTCAAGGTTCTTTGCTGCGATCTCGATTCCTTGGGCAAAACCCCATTTCCCATCGTCCTCACAAGTCAGCTTTCCCAGTTGTCAAACAGCCTAAGACCTTTTGTGCTAAGTTTGACTTGTTTGAAATCTTGGGAGGTAGGGGACTCTGCAATGGAGAAAAAGGTATAGAAGTTGAGCTCAAGAGAAACGTAGAGGAAGCATCATCGCCTATTACAACAGATGAACAAAGTTCTGGCAGCACGGCAATCTCAGTTCCAGAAGATGCTTTTGAAAAGGAGCTGATGGGGCTAACTGGAGGATTTCCTGGTGGTGAAAAGGGATTGAAAAAGTTCGTTGAGGAAAACCCACCTCCACCAAAGCAGTCAGTTTCAGATTCAGTAAGTATTGCCAGACTTGCTGCCACAAAGAAGCCAAAACCACCAGAATTGCCACTTTTAATGCCTGGAATGATCGCAATTGTTAAGAATCCTAACAACCCATTCTACATGTATTGCGGTATTGTGCAGCGGATCACTGATGGAAAGGCAGGGGTCCTTTTTGAGGGAGGAAACTGGGACCGACTGATAACGTTTCGCCTTGACGAGCTTGAACGCAGAGAAAAGGGCCCTCCAATGAAGAATCCCAAGTCTGCTGCTCTTGAAGCTATGCTAGAGAAGGATCAAAAGTGATGGTTCCATTTTACTTCTCTGTCTCATGAATGAATGGTATGCATTATTTGCAGTTTAGACAGTTAAAGCTTAGATAGGAATCAATGCCATGGATACCTCAAACATCAAAAACGAACAAATTCACAAATCTTCTAACATCAAAGATCGACATTAACAAGTAAAATATACAGATATGGATTAGAAAAGGCTTCAATTCAATAACTTTTCTATGTGTTTATTCACTGAAAATGGTGTTGTCCCTTTCTCTGTTTTCCTCACCACACACCAATATCATTAGAAAATTAAGGTTTCAATATTCAGACATGAAAAAGAAATGAGCAAACTAAAAGTCCATAGTCCATGTAATTGTGTTTCCATGTAAATGAGAAAATTGTCTTTCCTTGTTGAACCTCCATCAGATGATCAGAAACAGCCACCCAACTGCCAAAATTGTGTCAAAACATATCAATAAATATCTAACATTCTAAAGCCAAAAAAAACAAAAAAAAATCATTCTTCCAGTATTATTACATGGTCAATAGAATGGTTTAGGCACTCAGCATGACTGAAAACATTTCTCACAAAAGAAAAAATGAACAAAGAGGGACACATCAAACAAGCAGTTTTACAAACTGCTGATAGAATAAAAGATAAGGAAACATACATTATCAATTCATTCTCATAACCAAACCCAAAGAAACACCAAACCTCATGGAATAATTCCAACATTTCTTCTAGCACAAATTATATACTTCTCCAGTAGAGATTGCAGAACTTTATTTCATACGCATTAGACACATTTTCCTGCTTGATAACATGAATAGCTACAACAACTGCCTTGTACCATATGCAAGACTGGAACAGTACAATAACAAACCATCCGGTTCACATTTATCAATTCAATCTTTTCCTCTTATAAGTTTGGTTAGCGATCATAACATATTACATATAATGCAGTTATCGATAAATGCCCAATGCAGAATAAATACAATTAACAAATCATATAGAAAACATTAAAATCCGGACAACAGCCTGAAAAGGAGGGTGGTTACAAACCAAAATAGCCTCAATTTCCTCATTGGAAACAGGTGTTCTTTTAGGCTGAAGAGAAGCTTTCCCTCCAACAGTTGTAGGAGCCTTAGAGCTAGAGAAAAAAGTTAGATCACCATCACCGGGTTTTGTTCCAGCTTGAGGCTGCAATCCAGAACCTGCCAATTTATGATTTTGATTTTACTATTTTAGGCA